GTCACCGGAATTCGAATTCTGGTCCGGACTACATAATATTGAGTGGTGATGCATAGCACAGCACTAGTTGCTAAAGCCTGCATTCCTTTTGCTTTTAAGTTTTCTGTGGTATCACATGTCAAATAGTGATGAATACCTTGGGCCTTGGGGTGAGATATGGTGGGTGGGAATTTCAGTTCAGACTCACACTAGCTGCCTGGGCCTTGGGTACTTAGCATACCTATTCCTCATTTGCAAACTGGGGATAATAGCAGAAGTCATAGAGTCCTCATAAGTTATAACTTGGGATAATAACTTCAGTAACAGTGTCCTCATGGGGCTGTTTAAATATTTAAGGAGAGAACTTACTTAAGGCATAGCTAACTCCAGGATATGCAGAAAAAGAGTTTCATAAGTGGGTGTCGCTTTCTCACACAACAAAACAGTATCAAGAAGGTTTTTCAAGTTTAACTAGGCTTCTTGTGGGCATTTGCCTGCAGAAAGAGAATGTGATGACATATAGATATTTATATTCCTTAATGAAAATTACTGAACTGCAAGAAAACTCAAGTATTTTCATTTTACAAATCAGGAGAAGAAACCTTAAAGTTGATTAGAATGAAATCTGCAAAGTAAACACATTGATCATCTCCTTTTATGGTTTTTTTTTGTGACTTCTACAAATGATTTCAGTGTTTAAATGATAGCAAATATACATGTACATACTCCTGACGTTACATAAAGCAGTCATCCAATAGATGATATAAATAAATATCAGTACAATAAAGTGTGTCTTTAAACAGTATCCTACCTCTAACTTTATCATTTACTTGATTCCTGGGTAGAAATTCCTGTGCTCTCTACATGTAAGACAGCCTCCTTAGGTAAGGTATCCATAGTTAGGTACAAGCACAGATTAGGTAACCCTGCATCTCTATTGCTGAAAAGTTGCTCATAGAGTTCTTGTCCGTACAGAGCTGTTTTCTTCTTTCTGCATCCTGTTCTAACCAAGGCAGTGGCACAATTGCTACTTTGTAGAATGGAGACATTACCCCTGACTTGCAATTCAGAAACAGTTCTCTATAACCTTGTTTGAAATTTTAACCTGAAGAGATGTAACTACCTTGATGATCAAATAGTCAGCAAGACCAATAGTGTAATGCAATTATTACAGATCTTTTCCCTAACTAAAATTACTTTGTATTTTTGGCAAATGTAATTCCAGAATTCCTTCAGAAGGGATAGCTGACTGGTTCTGGGGTGTGCTTGTATGAGAGAGAGAGGTGGATTTTGTGTTGTCCACCATTACTATTTCAAAAGACTCACAATTTTGGGTCTCTGTAACTCATCATACTGGAAAATAGGGTAACTTATAAAATATGATTCACATTTCTGCATTCATTTCCTTATTTGTCAAATGACAGGTTAGGGGCTAAGAATTAAGATTTTGGCAAATAATCTTATTATTCTCTGACTTACCACAAATAAATGGAGATTTGGCTATACCTCCCAATATTGCCAGTTCCGTGATTGCAAATCCGTCATCTACTTAGCCTGTCTAAAAACAGTGGCACTCATCTAGCCTGCTCGCTTGGGAAGAATCATTAAAATTAGTGAGGAAGACCACAGTATTTTTTCACTTTAATTACACATCCTCTTCATCATAGAGAATGTTCAAGAAAATATCTGCATTGTACAGTTATGGAGACAGTTAGGTTTGGCACAAATATTTTAATTAGATTTTAACCTTCACTTTTTCTATGGCATATGCTTTAATACTAGTAGCTCTGGAATATTTTTCCTGGGAGAAATACTGTAAAAAGTTTGCATTTGTACCAAACCTCTTCTCTAAAACTGTTACTCCCTGTAGGAAAGGAGATTACTTAGATCTAATTGTTAATTTTTATTTTCTGACAAGAATTTGATTCATTAATATCAATAATAAAGATCGGGTGAAGAAAAATGCATAATTCTGCAAGGCTTTATTTTCTTGGTCTCAACATCAAGTTTCTGTCAAATGTCACTTAATTTTTCTCAAAGTAACTGTTGGTGATTGGGTAGTGAATTTCTAAATTAATCACAAATAGTCTGGTTCATGCATTTAATTTCCATTTCTCTAAGAACTAGTGGCAGTGATCATTTTTGCATTTATTCAACCTTTTGAAATTCACTTTGTGAAGTGAATTTTCAAGTCCCTTTCCTGTGTGTGTGTTTTTGTTAATTTGGTCATGCGCATCTAAAAGACTATTTGGAGGATTCCTTTGTGTTGCCTAGCTGTGAGTCCTTTTGTCAGGTATGCATTATGAATACCTCCTTTCAGTCTATGGTTTATAGATTTTCTTTCATTCTTTCTTATTTCATGAACAAAAGTCTGATTTTTAATTCACTGCAATATATAGCTTTTACAATTGTTTTGTATTCTGTTAAAAATCATAGCCTCTCTGAATTCTTGGAAGCATTTTTCTATCTTTTTTTTTTTCCTGGCTTGAATGTTTTGGATACGTGATTTATCTCAAATTAATTATTTTTCTTGCATAAAATTAAGGTAATTGTTCACCTTTCATATAGATATTCAATTGACCCAGCACCATTTATTGAAAAGGCTATACTTCTCTCACTAAAATGCAGCAAATTTGTTGTCTTATATCAGGTCATCTGACATTTGTGAGTTCATTTCTGAATTCTTTATTCTATACCATTGGCCTCTTCATTTATTTTATTGTATTTTTTTTTTGCATCAGTATAAAAAAACTGCTTAAGCATTACAGTAATTGGTGATACATGAGAGATAAAGTCTTTAGGCTTTGTTTTCTTCCTTGGTATTGCTTTACCTAAAGTAGGTCATTGCATTTTCATATATATTTAAGAATCAGGTCATCAGTTTACAAACATAAACCTGCTGAGATTTTCTGGGAGTTGTACTGAATCCATAGATCAGTTTGAGGATAAATTGCATTTTAGTACTGAGTTTTTATTCCATGAACATAAATGCATTCCTTCATTTATTTAGGTTTTTTATTTCTCTACATGATGTTTTGTAGTTTGCAGTGTAGAGGTCTTATAAATTCTCTATTAGATTTATTCCTAAGTAGCTGCATTTTTATACTACTGTAAATAGCATTTTTAAATACATTGTTTTCAGTTGTTTGCTGCTAACATACAAGAATACAATTTATTGTAGTAATTGAATCTGTATTCAGCAAACTTGGAAAACCACTTACTTTGTGTACTAGTTTGTAGTTTTGTGCAGTTTTATTTTCTACATATACGGCATGATCAGCTGTGAAAAATATCTGCTGTATTTGCACTTCAATTTTATAGTTTTTTCTTGCCTCACTGAATCTGCTAGAACATCCAAAGCAACGTTTAGATACAGATGATAGTGTACATCTTTTCTTATTCAGGGGAAACATATTCACTACTTAGCTATTTTGTATAACTTAACCTCTAGAAACTTCTGTTTAAATGGCATTTACCATATTTAGAAAGTGACTATATATTCATAGTTTGTGAAGAGTTTTTAAATTGTTTGAGAAATGTTATCATATGATATTTTTCTGCACATGTTGAGTTAAATGTATTTGTTTTGCGTTTTTTTTTTTTTTTTTTTTTTTAATGCAGTTTTGCGCTGTGGCCCAGGCTGGAGTACAGTGGCATGATCTCGACTCACTGCAACCTCTGCCTTCCAGGTTTAAGTGATTCTCCAATCTCAGCCTCCCAAGCAGCTGTGACAACAGGCAACTGCCACCATGCCTGGCTAATTTTTTGTATTTTTAGTAGAGACCGGGTTTCACCATGTTGGCCAGGATGGTCTCGATCTCCTAAACTTGTGATCTGTCTGCCTCTGCCTCCCAAAGTGATGGGATTACAGGCATGAGCCACCGTGCCTGGTCTGTTTTGTTTTATTTGTTTATAGTTTTTATATGTTGGAACAATCTTGCAATCTTGCATTTCTGGGGTGTAATACTAAACTATCATAATATATTTTACTTTTTATATATTTCTTGATTCAATATATAGCTTTTTAGATTTTTTTTCTTCCAAATTAAGAGATACTGGTCCATAACTTTCCTGTATTATGATGTTCTTGTCAGGTTTTATAATTAATATGGCCTTAGAAATGAATCAGGAAATAGTTCTTCATCATTTCTTTACTATTACTACTTTTATTTTTAATTGACACATAATATTTGTACATATTTCTGGGGTCGCCTTAGTATTTCTATTCTATGGCAGAATTTTCATCAGATTTTTGTTAGTTTTTCTTACATGTTTGTGAAAATTCAGCAAAGAAGCCACTAGGCCTGGATTTTGTTTTGTGAGAATATTTATTACATATTCAATTTCTTTAAGATTCTCTAATTCATCACATATCAATTTTAGGAAATTGTGTTTTTCAAGAAATGTTTTAAGTTCATCTAAAGTTTAAGTTTATCATAAAGTTGTTGATAGTATTATCTTATTGTCTTTTCTAACAGCTTTAGTATTTGCAGTGATTTTCTAGTTTTTACTGATATTGGTAATTAGAATTTTTCTCTAGGTAAACAGTAATTTTTTCTCTAGGTAATTGGTAAATAGAACTTTTTGGTAGGGGATTCGCAATTTGATTCATCTTTCAAAGAGCAAAACTATTTTATTGTTAGAATATTTTAAATTGTGTCTCTTTTCTATTTGTTTTATTTTATTGTTTTGATTTATTGTCACTGAGTTTCTATTTTTATTTGTTTCTGTGTTCTTAGAGCTCAATTTACTGTTCCTTTATTAGCTTCCTTAGATGGAATCTGAATTATTTATTTTTATTTTTTCTTTTATCTAACACATGCCCTTAAAAACAATTATTTATTTCTCTAAGGACTGCCTCAATGAATTCATGAATTTTCATATGTCTTATTTTCATTTTTACTCAGCAGAGATATTACCTATCAATTGTGACATTCTAACATTCTAACTGATATAAGAAGTGTAGAGGTTACTAAGAAGTTTATGTATGTATATATTATTATCATTTTGTGTTTTTCCAGACAATGCCCTACTGTGTTGCCCAAGCTGGAGTACAGTGGTGTGATCACAGCTCACTGCAGCCTCAACCTCCAAAGATCAAGCAATTCTCCTGCCTCAGCCTCCCAGGTAACTGGGACCACAGGCATCCACGAACAAGCCTGGCTAATTTTTAATTCTTTGTAGACATGGGATCTCACGATGTTGTCCAGGCTGGTCTTGAACTCCTGGATGCAAGCAATCATCTTGCCTTGGCCTCTCAAAGTCCTGGGATTATAGGCATGAGCCACTACACCCAGTCAAGAAGTATATATGTCAGTCTGCATACAGTTAGAAAATTTTGGTTACTGTTTTTGGACATGAATTTTCACAGAGGTCAGAAATACACACTTTATGATTTTAAACGTTTTAAATTAACTGAAGCTTGCTTTCTTGCCCAGAATAACACACTGTTAAATTTTTCCTGTGCATTAAAAAAAAAAGCATGTATTTTGTTCTGGAGGTATGGTTTTTCCTATTTATTTTAGCAATAGAGTCAAGTTGTTAAAGCATGTTAAGGCATGTTGTTCAAAATTATTCAAGTCTGTATTCTTACAAATTTTTTCTTCTCTTTTTGTCAGTTATGGTGGCAAATGTGTCTATTTCTTCTTTGAGTATGTAACCTTTGATTTGTATGTTAAAGTTATGTTTGTGGTATTAGATGTATAAAAGTTTAGGATTAGCCTATCTTTCTGTTGTTAGATTGATAATTAATCATTATGAAATATCTCTCTTTAATTATGGTAATGAGTTTCCCTAAAGTCTACTTTGGGAGAATATGTTCATGGCATATGTCTCTACCGTCTCTTTATTTTCAACATATATGACCAATTCCTTGTATTTGGAGTGAGTTTTGTATGCAGATTGACAGCTAAAAATTTTTAAAATTCTAGTATGAGAATCTTGGTCTTTAACTCTTAGATTTATGTGTATTTCATGCAATTACTAGCATAGTTGTGTATAAATCTACCATCTGACTTCTTTAACAGTATAACATCTATTTTCTTGCTTACATTATTACTTAAATCTTTATAAATATTTTTGATTACATTTCCTTATATATACCATCCTATATATCAAAACCTATTTCTGTATTTTACTCCACCTACAAATTCATGATGACTGTTTTGTATGTCAAATTTAGAGCTAAAAGCAGCATCATTAATTATTGTTGCAATTTTCTCCTGAAATCATAATTAAAACACCCCATATATACTTCAGCTGACTGATGGAATTACAATGTATGCAGTCACAAGAGCATTTTAACTGCAAGTTTCATATAAAATGCTCTGCTGTATTTGGCAATAAAAGCTACATTTGGTCTCTACTGCTTCCAAAGAATGCACTTCATTTTTCCTAGTGGCAGCTGGCCTTAAATGCTGAAAGCAGAGGCAAGCAGGCTGAACACATATAGAGCTTCAGAAGCTCTAAGGAAAAAGTTAATGTAAAAAACTGTGTGCTTCCTTTACAGACTTTTCAACTTCAGATATATGCAAAGGATGATTAATTCTGAAGTATAACAGGGAACAGCAGTGACGTCCCAGACACATCCTTTATGAACTCCTATCTGAAGGGCCAGGCACAAAGAGAAAGAGAAAAAAAGATTTTTGTCCTGTGGGAAATTTTACTGGGGCTTAAAGTAAGGCAAGTACCTTATATGAATAAGGTACAAAGTTCTATAGAAGTCTGCCTAATCTTACCTTTTTTTTTTTACTATGGAACAAAAAATCTAATTGACTTTCTAAATAATTTTTCATACATATGCCATTTTTAATGCTTTCCTCCATAATCCCTATAAGGCAAAAATTAGATTAAAAATAAATCTTTGGATGTTGAACTTTTCCTCAAAATTTACCCAAATAATTTAAAAAAACATTATCCAAATCCCAATATCAAGAGATAAACACGGTTAATGAATTGGGAATTAACAGTGCCTATATATACACACACACAAACATATTTATGGTCATACATATATATACACACACACAAACACATTTATGATCATACATATATATACACACACACATATATGTATAGTTATGACTAGCTAGCATTAATTAAACAATACATGCTATGAATTATACTCAGAATTTGAGTTATCTTATTTACTCCCTAAAGTAGTAGTTATTATGAAGCAGTAGTTATTTTCAACTCTATTTGATATAAGACAAAACAAAGAGAATTTTAATAACTTGTCCAAGTCATGCAGGGATTAGATAAAGAACTGGAATTTGAAAAAAGCAAGAAACCCTGCAAAAGAAATATTGAATTTCCTTCATTGTCTTCTGTCTCTTTTTCTCCATCCGTTTAATTAGATCACTCAGTTTCTATATTTTCATGACTTTTTTGTCTCATTTCTTATTTTATCTGGTTAAAGAATCTGTATGTTTGTGTTTAACATATGTTTATATCTATGGTAATATTCTTTGTAATTGTCTACTTATGTTTTATCAGTGTTTCAGTTTTTAACTGACACTGTAATTTTGTTTTTACTATTTGAATGTTCTTTTAGAGTAAGTAGCTGATTTGACCCACTCTCAGATTAGCCCTCTGACATTTGCTGTCATAGGCAATATGTTTTGTGTTACTTCTCTGATCCTAGGCAGTTTTGTTTCATTCTTTATAAATGTTCTCATATTCTCATTTAAACATTAATGATATGGGAGTTATAGTTAGCAAAGGTAGCAATTATTTTTAGAAAACATAATTTACTCAGTTTGGCCATGGTCTGTATTAAGAAAATACCTTCCAGACTATGTGTAGACTGATTCATGATGTCATTTTCATCACAAATTAGTTATGACTTATGAATGAATTGTGAATCACCTATTTTCTGTCTATCTGTTGATCTACCTGCCTCCCTGTCCTCTATTTCCCTTTCCCATGTGACCCTCTGGTCATCCAGCCTTCCACACTGCAGCCAACATGCTCTGTGTGCTGTCTACCCATCTGACTCCTTCAGCTGTTCTCCCTGCTCTCTCTTGCTGTGGTGTCACAATTTGTAAGGAACAAGAAGTGTGTGTACTTTTACCAGTCATTTAAATACACTGACTCTTTCATGTTATGAACTACTGGCAAAATAAGCTCAACATAATATTAGCTGGAGAATATCCAAAGTAGAAGAAATAAGCTGTGCTATAGAGGCTGTGCTACAAAAAGACTGGGAAATGTATTAGAAAATTAAAACTCAGAAAAAGGATTCTTCATAGTTTAGTGAGACTATTGTAGAAACTACTTTTGAGATAGAGAAAGCAAGTTATAATTATTAAATAAGAGGTATCATGCATTTAATTGCCACAGTGGAATTGCTGAAAGTGTTTTGTTTGTGGAGGGGAGGAAAGCTTCCCAAAGGAGCTGGCATCTGAATTGGATTTGGAAAGATGAGTCCACTTTCTCTAGAGACTTGGTCTGATGGCATAACTTTGAATATGCCAGGTGCTAACTTAATTTATATACATTTCTAACTAGGCCTGTATCAATTCAGCTATTTATTTAATTCTTAACAAAACAGATCATCGAACTTCAATCCAGATGAGTGAATTGTTGTCCAAATTGATGCTTAACCTTCCAAAATATCAGGTCATTGCCAGTTGATTGCATAGTTATAATATTACGATGATTAAAGAATCCTATTTTTGTTATCATAAAAATCACACCAGGTTGACATTTTCTTCGTTGCATTGCCCAGTTATTTTTTTGTGAAGAGGTTTATGCTTCTTTATGAGGTTGTTTATGTTTTATCAAGCTCTGCCCACTGTGACTTTCCCTTCACTCCCTTTCATTTTGCAAGAAGAGCTTAAACCATCTGGCTCTGAGAGAGGGTGCATTGCGATACCTTCCCAGTGAGTGCTTCTGACTAATAAAGAGTCATCTACAAGACATTTTAAAAGCTTGTATTTGGCATCATAAATGCACATATAAGTGAATTTCTGTTCTTTACACTAACATTTTGCAAGAACCTGGCTTGTTGAAACATGCCATTGGGAAAAACAATCTGTTTTGCTAATACTTTAAGCTCTTTAGAGGGTAACTTCTGTGCTTTATATGCATGGTTTACTTTATATCTTATCATAGGGGAAGCAAAGAGAAAATCTGTTCCTATGTGTCGTTATAAACACAGTCGTAAAGGAACTGACAGTTGACCTATTTTCTACTAACTTTTACACACACACACACACACGCACACACACACAGGCTATCTTAGAATAAATTGAGATGGATGCTTTCTTAAGAATCACCATAAAAGTGTGGTTAAAATTAAAATATTTATTTCAATGTGACAATTATCTTTTCCTTGGCATTTTCCTTTTGTTTCTTTAATTGTGTGATTTCATAACTATAATTTAGTTTTACTATTCTGATTTCCTACCTATTTTTTTTCTGAATGAAAATGTTATAGGACCACGTTGCAAGGGATAATTACTCTTGATTGCACAGGAAAGAGTTCCATTCACTGTTCATGTATGTTGAACAATTTCACAGTAAATGTTTATAAGAATCATTGCCCATATCTATTAAATGAGAGACTGTCTTATTTGGTAAAGAAGAAGGTTGTTCTTATTTTATAATTATTTTCAATAACTGCATTCATGAAAGGAAGTAAATAATAGGTAACCTTGAATCTTTCATATCTTTCCTATTCCAAAGATTTCAAGTGCAGAATCAAAGACATATAGCCACAATAAAATGTAAAATCACAAACCTTCAGAATGAGAAGGAATTTCAAGGAAAACGCCTTCCCTTTCTCCGCCTCTCTGAATACAGAGCTCTGAAGCTTCTGTGTGTCTGGTGAGCACATGGTACAGAATTGCAAGTTTCAGGAGCCCTGATTAACTTCCCATAGAGGCTGGCTGTGTTAGACTTTTTCTAAGGCCAAGAGCTTAATTTTGTTCTATCCCATTTCATTCTTATAACAATCTGGATAGTTGCTTATTATAACCTCCTGTTTGGAGATATGGAAATGAAGAAAATGAAGACCTGGGGTACTTTTTAAAAGCGATGCTATTAATAAGGAATGAAATGTGAAGTTGTGTGGTTGCCTGGAGTTCTGTTTCTTTCACCAATATCAACACATACAAATAAATGAA